CAAACACAACACGTAACTTTATTGTGAAATACGTTTCTTTGACTGGGTGATGCGGTAAATAATATTCCGCTGACGACAAATCTTGATCTTCGATTCACTTCTGTAACTTAGTCATTGATACTCGCTAAGACATTCCGTAAAATTGAATCCTAACTTCGCATTCTTTTCGAGCTTTCGATCCAATGCGTTGAATCGTCGCAATGCTGTACCCTTGAGATTGCCAAGCTGCCCAGTCGTATCCATCTGGAACGGAAGCTGCACTACGAAACGACCGTCCTCGTCTCTGTGATAAATTTGAACAAAATAATAATCACAAAGATTTTTCTCGGTGGTGCGATTAACTCGCTGTGGGCATTGCTCGCTTTCCCAAATTTCGTGAAAATTATGTTAAGCTGTTGATTTGTGATAAGATTGAGATAAAAATCGGTGCGAGCTCCAGTCTGTGTTCTCGTCTCGGTCAATCCGTCCAATACCCAATTGAAAAGATTTTTTTGAAGGATTGGATGAACTTCGGTGACCTTAATCTGCCCAACAAATATCAACGGAAATGTCTTTACAACGTCCAACACCTGAATGATTGTTGTGGACAACCAGACCTATGACCTATCATGATCATGAAGTGTATGTTTGGCTGCCGATATAATATGATGCAAATCTTTCGATTGGTTTTGCCAAATCGCCTTGTGTAATTAATGGAAGAATATATAAGCATGTTGTATCTGTTGCAGTAGGTTTTGCAACTACCGACTTGACAATCTTTCGTGCAATGTAAGATAGATCGTAAACAATTCAGGCACAGTTTGTTGTCCTTGACTGCTTTTGTAGAACTGGCATCTTCAGTAAAGTTTCGCACATGATCTCGAAATGCTCGTCCTTAGAAATGGGGCATTTGTTAGTTTGATTTGTGACGTTGAGCGAAGTCGGCTTTGTTTGCCATTGTTTGTTGAGGATTGAAGGAGTAGACGATTGTGACGCTTTTCTTTGAATAATTTTCAACATATATCATCTGCGATTCATGAATTTAAAATTGTTAAATCCTGCAAGGTCGGGATTTCTGGTTCCCTTAAGCTGTTTTCCCATTCTCGATTTGTGACAACGTCGAGCTTACTTGTGATTACATAGACGAGGTGATCATCCCATTCGATTTTCGCTCGGCCTAAGGCTCTCAAGGCGCGTTTGTGCTTCGACATATCATCAACAATCGCAATCATGCGTAATTTTCTTAAACATGGAGGGGAAATCGAAAATCGCTTTTATGTATTTTTGAACGATCAATCATTTATTATCTATATATTTGTCGATGCATCTCGAAACCTCGACATAATTATCCACGGAAACCACGAGCAACTGGTATGATCTCAGCAGCTTCACCATAAAGCGAAGATCTCAAATAATGAAATTTTTGTATGCTCGGAATATGCTCTACATTGGGTATAAGCGAATGAAGTGTTTCGTGAAATAGATATGATTTTTTGTAACGACCTGAAAGCATTAGAAATTCAATCTTCGGTAATCACAAATTATTATTTACATATTCTTTTTGTGAATTTCGATTTTGATTATGATTTTGATTTTGATTTTCACCATCAGTGTGATTTTGACCCACATTACATTATTCTCCTTGTGATCTCTCTTATATCGCTATGATCTCATCGAATCGAGAAATGATATTGAAATATGATTCTTCGAAATTTGTCTTTGCTTCTTGCGAAATTGCACCTTCTTTTGCCAAATTGATTTGTATTTGAGCCTGATTAAAATTGTCCCACATTGTGTCTATTTTTGTTTTACGCTGATGTAATTGCGTGAGAATTACGGTATTTACATACAATAACGAGCGAGAAATATTTCGGCTGTTGTGAGAACGCCTTTAATCGTACTGTGCTTTGCTTTTGCTCTTTTAACGTCTTCTTCCGACATGATATCAAGACAGAGCTATTATATAGGAATAACTGAGTAAAAGAGAATAAAAATTTGGAGATTTATCAAACGCCAATGAAAATTGAACCGACCGCCGTGACCGCCGAACACGTTTTTTCGCAACGCCGACGTGTTTTTCTTCGTGCGATGCATGCTACTGTTGCGGGACGATTTTATATCATAACGCTTATCGTTGAAAATCTAGCAATGTTTGGTACATGTGTGATTATAAAAACGTACACTGTGTTGTACTACGCACAAATGTATGTCTAACGCATTGCTTTAAGGTCGACAATTTTGCGAAAAAAATGGTGGATATAGCCATAATGTCTTTGGATTATGCTTCACCATATTCTCACTCACGATCGATTGTCTGTATTGCATGCGAGAATGAAAATGTTTACTGTTGTTTGTCACAATTTTTTTTTACTGATATTCATCAATAATCGCTTGAAGGACCATATTCTATATGTGGATAATATCCACGTGAAATAAATAACACAGGAAGCTCACTTTTCATTAATTAAAAATTATAATTTTAATGAAAGTAGATTCACGAGAAATTAGGCGCTATGCGAGTTTAGAGAGACAAAGCGTGACTAATGGGCGGAGAGACTAAAGTGACGGTTTCGCAAAAGAAAGAAAGCAAAAAGAAACCGGGTGGAGAGTTGATATTCAAAGACGTCGCGTGAACATGTTTCGACAGGCAAAGAGCGTAACTGGACACGAAAGAGAGCAAGGGACAAGTAATAATCTCAAACACCCACATATATATACATATATGTACACACACAATGTACGATGATTATATATTAAATATTAAACCTTTCGCTACGGAGCGCTTGCGTCACAATGTGATCGCTGTGAACGGACCGCATTACTGAGTAGTTGACACTGAAGAACGGAATGCTACGAAATAATCCAAAGTCGTTTCTCGTTCTCTAAATTTTACAATGACATTTATTATATTCAATAATATCATCTTACTTTCTGAAATATAATATAAATATAATCAAAATTTATTTTTTTTTAATATTTTATTATAATGTTCATGTAATATTTTTTAATACAACGAAATTACTAAAGTATTTAAAGCCGAACATAATATTAATAATCAACTATGATATGGTAAATTTTAAAGCATGGAACCACACATAATCCAACATTACATTGTGAACATTAGTATCTCGGCTCACGTCTTTTCCTCGTTTACTGCAGACGACATATTTTCGAACTGGATTTTTTTTGACGCCTCATTCGAATATATAGACGGAAAATGCCTTTCAGTAACTCTTTCAGGATTATTATTATTTCGTGCAACTGAACATTTCATATCTGATTTTTGTTTCCCGTATGTTTGCAATAATTGTCGTATAAGAGTTAAATGAAATTTGGCAACGGTTATTTTGTCGCAGTTGCTGATTGGAATAAACAATATGCATTCCACACAACCATGTTTAGCACGTGAAAAAAATTTTTTTTGTACTATTTTAAACTTTTACGACTACATTCAACAGATTTTAAAACCATATCAATTTTGTCAACGGCTCCCATATTGGCATTATAATCAATGACGCAGGTCAGTTTTTGTATTGGCAATCCTGTATGATAATCTATCTTAGTTGTATCAACGATGTCTGCCAATTGACAAGTTTTTATCATCCAAACATCTCGTTTGTTTTGCCACTTTAATTATGCTAATAAATTATTGCACGAACGGAATGATATCTCGTCTCTTTTTAAATGATTGGAAATTATGGGCATATTTTTACGGTCTTTTTTACCGTTCCGCAAGCATTTGTTTTATGATGTTGTAATTTTGCAAATAAAGCGGGGCTTGCATACCTAATTATCGACAAATACCGTATGGCCTTGTTGAAGATATAGTTCTAACAGTATCATAACGACATTTCCTGATTTTCCTAAATTGTCATTGGACTGTCCGTCGGAATCTGTAGTTTTTCTTGTATATACAATAAAATTTTAAATGTAGCCTGACAAAAAGTCGCATAATACATAAGACTTTATGCCGAATCTGTTTCGTTTAGCAGGAATGAATTGTTTGAATGATAACCGGTCTTTAAATAAAACGTTAAGCTTTCATCTATACAAATATTGCGAAATGGATAAAAACATCTCAAAAGTATTAATTAACAAAAGTATCTCATGTAAAGTATGAAATCAAAGTATATATAGTATGAACGTATATGTACGCTCTTCGTACCCGAGTGCCCACTTTTTCAGAACGTATATATACGCTCTTCGTACATAAATGGTCCTTCTTCGAAGGCGTCGGAGCGAAAGGGTTTAAAAGATTAGAATATTGAAGAGAATTATCCTCGCTCTCTCTCTCTCTCTCTCTCACTTTCTTTCTCTCTTCTCGCTTTCTCTCTCTCTCTCTTTCCCTCTCCTCCTTTTCTCTTTTCGGTGTAACATTATTCTTATTCACTAAATCTATACTATTTCTTACGCTACTCAAGAAACCTATTCACTCTTTCTCTTCAGACCATCGTTTACCAAAGCTTCACATACTCGCTTGCGTCTTTCATCTCCACAATCAAAGGCTAACCTTCAATATTAACATCCTTTCACGTTACAACATATCTGCAGAAATGCTTTGTATATACGTTTCCCGAATCAGAATACTAGGCTGATACACTTCTAACAATATTATAATTTTATATATTAAAGTAAAGTACTCTCTAATATTAATCCTGCATATACTATTAATGATGTTATTTTGCTTAAAAATAACATTTCACACGTTTCTTTCTTATAAGCTATTAAACCTTTTATTTATCTAAATTATTTACGCCATACACATTTTCCAACAGCTGCAACTATTTTTAAACAATTCTGCACTCCTACCTCCTATGGAATTCTGGCCCTTCTCCTATGGCTATCTAATCTTTCCATATCCCGTCATGCTTAACAAGTTGATACATTAATATCTTATACTGCGTATGTGAGGATACACTAACAAATGGCTAAGTTACTTGGACTTCTTTATTTCCAAGATATTGTCGTTTTGTCATTCCCAAATTGATATGCCCACTTTGGTAGTTAGTCTCATTTTTGATAAAATATCACTTAGGGGGTTTGTTGATAAACACAAAATTTTATTTTTAATGTTTACACGTTCGTAGCTACAATAATTAATATCATTGTATGAAGCTTCCCTACACGTAGACATCTGAATTTTCTCCATTTCTGATCTTCTTCTTTTGCCAGCTCAATACTTCTTTTAGGTTATTGATTATAGCCTTTGCCCAATCTTTTGTGGTGATCATTACAGATTCCATCATCTCCGTCGCTTAACTGACAAAACGGTATCTCCTTATTAATGCGAACTCCTTCATTGGTCATAGCCATGCAGTATCTTATCGCTCTTCTTCAATTTAGAAAATAGATCTAAACAAGAAGCTTCTACCGCTAGCTTGTCTTTTAAGTTAAAAGCTGGTATTCTTGATTTCATCTACCAAATACTCTCCGCTATCTACTGACAATATTACAAAACGTTGTACCTATTATTACTAATGCTATATTCACATTACAATTTGTTCTTATTCGAATAGGCTGGACGTAAAATACGTTTTCAACCTTTTTGATGTCATAGACACTAAGTAATACTCAACAAACCCATAGTATCCACTGCCTGGGTGGAATATAACTTTAACGTCTCCAAAACAGTTTGAATCCGCCCATATAGTTGATATTTTGTAACCGCCTCAGTACTCATATGTTGACCTCCCTGGTTGTCCTGGGAGTATCCTCCCTTTAGTGGAACAGTGTTCCTAATTATTTATGTCTGTTTCAAAGTTCTGCTGATAGCAAAATCTTGCCTACTTGCAAAATGGTCAGTAACTTACCCTACTCATATTATTTGGGACAGATCTATAGCATCCCATACCAGATTCTTGGCATCAGTCATCCATTCCCACCTAGAGTTCTATTGAATGAAGCATCATATTCCAATGGATGTTTGAAATGGCTAAAACCACCAGAGTCTCCTATTATCGAAGTCATCGCTTCTTCTTCCATCAAGTCCATTTCTTCCCTAACTTTTTTTTATCGAAGACAACATCACAGTCGAATTCCAGTCATTTAACATTCTATTAGCCAGTCTAGCATCCTGCAAAACCAACTAGGCATCCTGCAATAGGCTTTTTATCAAATCCTACAAAATCGAAGCGATGACGAAAATTTAAAGAATTCTCTTACTGACTCATCGAGCAACACTGCTGTTGTTGATGACGTTTAACGTGATACGAATTAATAGTTGATAAGGAAAAATTTAACAATGAGAAATGGATATCTCGCGGTTTGGGATACAGATATGTAGGCAGTGTAGAAAGGAAATAAAATCCCAGCTGATTAATTGCATACATTGTAGAACATTTTTCATCCGAGTTGCCACAATTTTCATAAAGTTTATAATTGAGCAAATGAATCGCTGAGTTGAACTGGTAAATATGAAATATTTATATAAATATGAAATAGAGAGTGTGATGCGAGTGTGATAACGTATGCAAGGGGAATGTAAGGCAGCAGCCCAATAATGTAAATAGCCGAATAGCGATCGAGTGTTTCACGTCAAGACAAAGATCGGACAAAAGAAAAGAAGTCCTAAAAAGGTAGTCAGCGTCTACCAGTCGAATAACGATTACATCCTAGTGTACCAATATTAATTTACTTTTCATTTATTAGAATATATTGCATTTCCGTAGAAGAGAGTTTTCTTTTCATCATCGGAATTCTTATTTTTTTTAGTCAAATATCATTTCAGAAGACTGACCGATTCCACAAATAGAAAAAGCTAAAAAGCAAATTATTATAGATCGATTACCAATATATGAGAAAGTGTTAGAATTAGTGATGAAGAAGCAAATATAAATGTATTTTGAATTTAATGGTATTATAACGGAACATTGATTAGATGTAAGAAAACAATATTCGTGTGAAATGGTTGGATTCAAACTGTTGTTGATGAATGGAAATTAATAGTTAGCTAGAGAACAATTATGGATGTTATTTCTATGAATCTTAAGTGAATGTTTGAAATAGTAGATAGAAAGAGATTAATAGAAAATTTATATCAATATAATTTTAGAGGTATTGTTTTAGAATGATTTAAATAATAGAACGCAGCAGATTGGTTTCAACGATAAATGGTCTGAATTAATTAACATAGAATATGGAGTGCCCCAAGGATTTGTATCGGGACTCTTGTCATTCATTGAAATATTCTCTGAATGATATAGTATAAAAATGTTTACGGATAATACATTAATTTATGTTATTGGAAAAAGTAGTATACAGTTAGAGACAGAAATGAATAAAGCATTTAATACAGTAGAAGAATGGAAGAATATATATAAATTGAGAATGAATGCAGAAAAGACGGAATATATTATAGGAGTATAAGAAAAGAGCTGGATGGAAATATTATATTGAAATGCTTTGATGAAACCGAGATATAACGTGTAGAGATAATGAAATACTTAGGAATAGATGGTAAGCTTAGATTTAAAGGTTATTGCGATTGTATGTTAAAAAAGATAGGTAAGAAAACTAGTTTTTTGAATGGAACAGGAAATTATATATTGGCAACTACTAAATGTATCACGTATAAAGCGATCATAGCACAGAATATTGTAACATTGTTAATGGATATGAGAGAGACACAGCTGAATAAATTGCAAGTAATGCAAAATCGGGAAATGAGAGTATATTACAACATGTGTCTATGTATTTTCATGATCTTGAGAAATTTGTTAACTGAACAATTAAGAAAAAGAATAGAAATAGTGGGAAAAGGAAACAGAAAACACATACGACATACCAGAAACATTGTAATACAATTTCGCAGAAATAGGAGTGCGTGATAGAGTATGTTTTATGAAGGAGTTAAAATATATAATACCAGCCGATATAAAACAACGCTAAAGGCTCGACCAATTTAAAAAGATATTAAAGGACTATATTTTCTATAATTTCTAATGTAGTCTAAATTGTGTATTTCAAATAGTTGAGAGAGCTTCTTCTACTAATAAGTCTATGTCTAAATTCACCCTCGATTGTTTAATAGAGCAGAACATCACACTGGAGTTCTAATCATCTAAAACTCTTACCTAAACTAGGCTTGTTTTTATGCATCGATCTTCTCACTAGGCTGTACAATTGATTATGTAGCCTCCACCATATCCATCATTTTCATACAAATATTGTGTTCCATGACAACTTGCTTATCATGCTATAGCTTACCCACATTGGATAACAACCAGTTTTTTGAAAACATCCATGAATTACTATTCTCCTGTTCGACGTCCACTTTCTTCTTTCCACTTATATGTTTTCTACACGGAGTTAACTTCGTTCCAGTTCTACAGAACTTTGTTAATCTTAACCGGCAATTCCTGATACTCGTTGGTTGACAATTACAGATACTTGTTGATTTCCAAACTTTCATTGTTACATTGTACATTCCATTTATCAAGATGTTTGTTAAATTTACTAAATCCCATGACTGATCCAAGTATCATTCCTCATGTTGATTAGAATACTGCATTTACAGTATCCCCCTATCATGCTCAAAAATAGGAAATCATTAACAGTATAGAATTACATCTACTTATTAGTTTCCATGATTATTGTACTTGTAATTGTGACCAATACTTGTAATAATAAATATTTTAATTAGAAAAAAAGGTGTAGAATATATGTATATATAAAAATAAATGGAAAATATACGAATAAAATAGTATTCTGTTAGATTTTTCTTGTAGGCGGCTTTGAAATCTATTATTCACAGTTACATTTAATTATTCACATTTTCATATCATTACGATTATTTTGCGTTTACATACTACATAGATTTCTATTAATTTAATTGTCAAAAATTTTCAATGTTTCGAATGCTTATTAACATGCATAGTTTATTAGAAAATCGATTTCTTTTACTTATAAACATGATTGTAGTATAGCGAGGTCTAGATACGAAACTCATTGAAATGTAATCTAACATAATTTGCAAACATGTCCATCGATAATATGAATATATGATTGGTGAAAATCATTAAGCTAATTCTCATGAGTTTTTTTATAGTACTTTCTTTAGATCTGAGTTAATATTTTATGTATCTATTATAATGATTATTCAGTGTTAATAGATTATCCTTGTAGCTGTCAAATACTAATAACTTATATTTTTAAAGTAAATAGTATAATTAAAAAAAAGTTATATATAACATTTAGGTAAAGCGAAAAATTACATATACTTATTTCTTTTTAAATTATTTAAAAATATCAACGATTATTATATTATTAATTAATTATTTGTATATTTACTTGTAATTATATACAATGAAAATAAAGAAGACGAAAGGAATAAAATATTCAAATATATCTGTTACAAAATGAAAAAAATATGAGAGAAAAATTTTGAAGGATGAATATTTTAAACAAGATTTTGGAGCCATTGGTTGTTAGTAACGATTGGCGGAATGAAAAAACAGATGTTTATATATTATCTTATATATGTAGATCCTATTCTATATATATATCTGATTCTAAATTATGTTAATGTTTTTAATAAATAGGGAATAATAGAAATTGGATGATATGGAAAGCAGTGATAGCGATAGCTCATAGAGGAACACAAGAAACCACTTTTCAACGCAATTTCTTTCAAGTCATGGGACTTTCTAGGTAAAACTAAGGTCGCTGAATCTCGTCACGGATGGAACATGCGAGTGTGGCGAAGAGGACACGATTTCGGATCACATCATCGAATGCTCGGTTTTCGAACCTCAGAAAGTTGCTCTGGAAGAAATATTCTGCGAAAAGAGCTGGCCAGAAACAGCGAGATATTTTGTCTTCACGACTGAGGCCCTTTCCCTCTTCGCGGTTTTGTAGAGAAACTGTATTAACATCTGTATTAGGGGTAATTAGTTCATAAATCCTGTTCAGCTGGGATTGTCGGAGTTCTGGTGATGAGGGTTGGTGCCTATAATTTTTCCAGGTTAACTCATTCTCGAACAGGATAGGGTCGGAGATACTCGCATGTGTTACCCTATTTTTTTTTCTTCTCACTACAACCCAATACTCTCTCTGATACCTGCTATTCTACCAATCCCATCCTATCCTACGGAACGAGTGGCAAGGATCGTGGCACTGTGAGCGGGCCTTTCCGTGGTTCCCCGTGGGCACAAGCAGCATCAGCGTGGTGATTCGTTGCTGCGAGGATGTTGGTCGCTGAGAGGATGTGTCTAAACCGCTCACTTTATCCCGCCGGCAGAAGTTTTGGGTTTTTCCGAATCCGGTCAGTTCGCTGTGGTGGCTGTTGTCTTTAGGTGGTTTCGTAGCGTATGCCGTAATGGGCGAGGTAGCATAGGTGCAGGCGGCACTCTACGGGTGTTCACCTTTACTCTAGACTGTTCCATCATGGCTACGATACGGGACGTATACGTTGCCGTGTGCTCCGCGTTTTGTGAAAATTTTTCCAGTTTACTTTATTTTGCCTGTGAAAAAATTATATCTCACGCGTTAATTGGAGTGCGGTGAACAATGTGAGATAATAATCAAAATTGGGGATTGATTAATTACTTTGTAATTAGTGTAAAATGTGCTCAGTAGTTTTGTGGAAATTATGTGCTTTTTCTCGGGAGTGGCATTTTATATTCTATGGACGAACGGCGGATTCAACTGATAATTTCTGTTGCAAGATGGAAGTGGATTTGCAACGAGTTCACACCGTACTGTGATTGGCTGTTGGATTGGACAACAACAATGTGTAGTGTTAGGAGTGCACATTATTTGTTTTTCGACAGTTGGCGCACATACGTCACTCATAACCTCAAATCATAAAAGCGCGGGAAACGTACGGAACTTCTGGCATGGCTCTGCAGACCTTGTTGCCAGAGGCTTCAGGCACGGCTCTACAGGCCTTGTCGCCCGTGGTAAAGGAAATAAAATTTTCCGATATTTTTGAAATTTCAAAAATTTTTTAAATTTTCAAAGTTTCGCCATAGGAACGTGACCGCGAAAATAGAGCCTTGATGAAACTCCTTCAAATAAATAGTGGAGTGCTTGCAGTATCAAATACTTAATAATTAAAAAAAATATTTTTTTTTTCTCTAAGTCCTTATTTACTTAAAGTATCATTATTGAAGTATTTTAATAAATCTCTCTTCTTTTCTAAGTCTTCTATTTACTTAAAGTACTTCTACTAAAGTACTTAGAATTGTTTTTTTCCCGTAGTGAAATGTTACTATTAGGTGGACCGGAAAGTTGTTTCTGCGCATGTCTATATTTGATTGTCATTTGTCAGCCCATTGTGTATTTAGAAGTCGTGTTAAAGACATTTTAAGATTCTTGTGACTTGTTCACTTCTAAATATTATTATATCTAGATATGATGTAAACTTATATGATTAGTCGTATTATATACATTCGTATATATGTATATCCATATATCATATATATACGTGTATTATAGAAAGATTTTTATTTTTCTTAGTGAAAAATAATTGACTTAAGCGACACTGTAATAGTAACTATTAATTTCACCATGCTCTAACGCTATCGAAGTCGTCATAATCTTTCTTTTGGTGTAAGATTTTTAAGTTGTTTATTGAAATGGGATAGCTTTTATTAAGAATTACTATTTGTTTTGGGTCTAATAAAAAATAATCTGATAAAAAACTCTTTAATTGTAATATTACGAAGTAAAAATTACAAATTCAATTTACCGTACTTTCCAAAACTTCCAACAATGGATATAACCCATTATAATAGATTGATATTGACAAAAGAAGATTCTCAAATTTATAAAATTATACTTTGAAAATGCTAAAGTATATAGAGATATGTATTACGTAATTATTTTTGCTGTTAAATATAACCAAAGAGGTAAAATTAATCTCTGAGTATATATGTGTTTGTTTGTGTATATATATATCGGTGTGTGAGGGGGGTAGAGAGAAAGAGTGAGAGAGAGAGAGAGAGAGAGAGAGTGAGAGGGAGAGAGAGAGAGTGAGAGAGAGAGAGAGTGAGAGAGAGAGAGAGAATTAATATTCCTATATTGATATATAATAAATTTTTCTATATTTTTCATCATTCGTATGTATGATTGTGACTATGTTGTCTACCATAAATAATTTTTTCAAAATATTTCGCAAACTAATCATTTTTCGACATTGTAGTTTAATACTTTTTTATTCAGAATGGGAAGAGAAATCAATTTATATAAACCAAAATCGTAGATTTAATAAAATATTTATGATCTTGAAATTTCTTAAAAAAATTAAACCTTTAGAAAAAATTCTTTCCATCATAATAGGTGTTCTTTGAAAGGTGACTTGTTCTGCACATTTTTTCCATACATTCATAAATAGTGTAAATAATTACTTGTTTTCATTTAAAAGTTATTCTCTATGTAAACATATGTGCATGTAAATATGTAAGGTAACGAGGAATAAGGTAAAAAAGAAATATTCAAGCACAAGTTCGAACAATAGACTTGAGTAAATAAATAAAAACATTTTGTAAGGTTATTAGTTCTTTGTTCTGCTATACGTACAATACAAAGAGAGATTTTAAAGTAGATGGGAATAAACAGAGAAAAGGAAATAATGTCAAGACTTATTTACTACATATATTTTTGGAAGGATGTTCTAATATCTGTTGACGAATGTGACGTATCAAGAAGAGAGCTAGTTTTATATATACGATTAGTACTGTAAGTTAAATTTTGTTATTTGAAAATTATATTCTGCTTTTTTTTTTGTTGTTATCTATAAGTTTCTATTTTAAGCATGTACTTAAATATTAATTTAGGAAAACAATTACTTTCCCTTTCTTCCTCTTCCCCCTCCTTCTCTCTCCCTATCAGCAAGACAATTAATGATCGAGACAAATATATATATATTGGGTTGGCAACTAAGTGATGGCCGGATTTCAAATAAGAAGGAAACGACAAAATCCGCAATCACTTAGTTGCCAACTCAATATATATATATATAATGAAGATTTATTGTAAAAACCTTCACTGTCAATTAGTTTTTTATACCATTATTTATTCAAAATTATTTCTTCG